CAAATGTATTGTATTCCAACTCTCATATCGGTCATTCATTCCTCTATTTTTGTATGTTTTGTATTGTCAGCTCTCTTTCTCTTCCTATTTTTAAAAGATATTTAGTTAAACCGAGAAATATTTGGCTATAGATCGTACCGACAGATATTTTTTAATACCGCTCAGCTCTAATTTTTATAGCCTTGCCAGACTAACATGTACACAATGTATTAATCGAATACTCCTTCTCCCTTTTTCTTTTATATCCTACAGGAGGTTGTCAATGAGGTCCAGTTGACTGTTTTATCCCACCATCAGTATTGTGTGGTTGTTAATCCTCTTGGTGATGATGGTAGACCACGCCTTGGCTGTAGGGAACTGAGGAAAGGACCCAAGACATTCTTCCTTCATCCTGGTAACTGATTTAATATTAATTAAGTATTAATTTTATTATGATGATTTTGCAATTGTCATGTACAATGAATGTAGAAAGTGATTTGATATGTTATATATATGCATGCCCTTTGTTTGGGGATGTGCATGTTAGCTATTGTGTGTATTTTGTGTTGTTTTGTGTGTGTGTGTGTGCCTTTTATTTGTTTGTATTATTTATTTGTTTTTTTATTTTTGCAGGTGAGAAGTTTGAGAGAGGGATACAAGATGCTATTATATTAGAATCTGATGAGGCTCTTCTTGTCACTGCTCAAGAGGAGTTTGACGATATTACTGAAGATGGTAAGTAATGGCCTATTTACTATACTGTGTTTGTTCTGGCATCAGCCAAACATACAGTGAGGGATAAGTGCATGAGCACACACAATTAGTGTTTGTTGTCAGAATTGATATCTCTTACACTGCACATGCATAGTTCCATTAATGGAATTTATGGAATTTATGAATTTAATGGATTTATTTGTCATATGGTCATAAAAAAAGCACAGATGCATGTACTATCAGTCTGTCACTAGCAGGTGATTATTGATATTGCATTCTTGCATTTTAAATGAAATACAATGAATTTCTTGCATGTCATCATTGAATTTCCATTGTATGAGAGAAAATAGAAACTAATGTTGATATGTACATTGCACTATTATACGTAGGTAGTAAAGTCCATCGTACCCCTGGTGATAGGTGGATGATTCATGGACCAACTGACTATATACCTAGAACTGAGATTGGGAATATACAGAGGAGGTTAGTATTTGTCAGTAATTTTCATGAAAGTATGAACATCATTACATCAATAATAATGTCAGAATTTAATATCATGCAGTGGTGTAAGTGGTTGTATGGATTGTGAAGCTTGTCAACTTTTGAGATTACATAATTGTTTAGACCATAGCTTAGAGTGGGGTCACATTAAAAAACAAATGACATTGATTACACTCTAGGAAGGGCTATCAAGTATTTGGGGAGACAATTTAATAGTAGGCCCACCCCCTGCCTATGTAACAGTTGTGTTCAAGCCTAAAGGGCAATAAGATAGAATTACATGTATTTCTATCCTTACCTTACACAAACGGTGGCCATCGGGTTATACAGCACTTTCTGTCTTAATGTATAGCCTTATTGCCCTTAACACCCACTATGACAGGCTGACATAGTATGATGAAGCAGCTTCAAAATATAGTTTCTATCTCTCTACTGTAGGAAGGCTACTCCATTGAATGAGAATGAAGGGATTTATGTTAGAAATGTTCAGTCTGGACAGGTAAACCAATACAGTACAGTATAGTGCTATATTAATACTAACACTGTTGGTGTGTCCAATACAGTACAGTACAGTACAGTGCTATATTAATACTAACACTGGTGGTGTGTCCAATACAGTACAGTACAGTACAGTGCTATATTAGTACTAACACTGGTGGTGTGTCCAATACAGTACAGTACAGTACAGTGCTATATTAGTACTAACACTGGTGGTGTG